CGAGCACCTCGTCCCGTGCAGGGCGGTGAGGGGTTCTCGGGGCCTGGGCTTCCCGGGCCCTGCTGCCTTCCCTAGTCAGCAGGTACACAGTTGCGTTAGGAGACTCCCAAAATGCTCGTTTTCCTCCTGGTCAGCGGTTTTTTTTTTATTTTTTATTTTTTTCTTTTTACTCAGGTGGTAGGAGCTCCTATATATAAGGTATTTTGCCAGCTTGCAGAATGCAGGTACTCTGTTCACCTCATACTTTTGTGCTGCACTTTTTTTTCCATGTGGGAGATGCATAGTTGACAGAGTTTTGAGGTTACTTGTGGTTATTTGAGAAAGTGTTAAAGAAGGTAGTAAATGTGGTCTTGCAGGGGCATAGCACTTATCTTTCTTTCTCAGAATATGCTAAAGTGTGTATTAAATCTCTGTCTCAGGGAAAAGTAGTGCTGGCAGGTATTAGGTGACTCCCTTTTCAATGTTTTTGCTCTCTGCTGACTAATTTCATATTTCATTAATTGTTGGCTCAAAGGTTGATTCTCTAATCTTGTTCCTGCAATGCTTTTCAGTTTATAGGTGTGAACCAACAAGCAGTATCTTTAAAAAAAAAAAAAAAAAAAAAAAAGCCTACTTTTTTTTTTCATTGCCTTAGTTGTGTGGCTGAGCTCTCTGCAGCTGCCTCGGTGCCGCTGGGAAGCGTTAACCTCCAGGGAACGGGGGTGTTGGAGTGTCTGCGCTGCCAAGGAGCCATCGCTAAAGGACGTCCTGGCTGCAGCAAGCGCGGACCCGGCTGACTTGCTCTGACCTAACTAAAACAGTTGCAGGGAACCACTCTAAGCAAGGAGATGTCTCGTTGTAGGGTCCTGAGCTGCCCAGTTTGTAATCTGCTTGAGTCTAAACACGCAGACACACAAGGCACTTTGTCTGGCACGTGAAATACAGAGTGCAGCTCATCTAAGCTTGATTGTACTCATATTTCTAGCTGAAGTTGAATGATCCTTGAAAGTCCTGTCAGTGCTTGTATGTGTGTGCAGTTAGTCCTTGAAGAAAATATTCCTGTAAAAGAATAATTGGGGTAAATACTATCCTCAAATGCTTATTAACATTTCACAGTAATAACAGCAGATTTATTATGTGGTGCCCTTGGTTCACAATGTGTGTTTAGTATTACTGTGTCTTAATGAAAACAAAGCTTTAGTTCTGTGTACAGAGGCTGCTTGTGTAAGAGTTATCCTTGAGCATGCCTCGCTGCTGGAACTCCAGATTCTTCATTGCACCTCATAGGGCTAAAGCATTTTTAGGATAGTTTTGAGTACTCACGAGGCAAAGGAGTGCTTAAGAAAAGTGCTTATAAACCCAAGCTCAAGTCAGAACTTCTGATCTCTGCAAGCTGCATCTAAGGAAGTGAGAAGGATTTTAATGGGACACTCGGGGGAAAAAATAACAGGTTGTTATATAGGAGATGAGGTTAGCTGGTTGCATGGCTCCTGGTCCTGTTTTGTGTATGAAACTTGCTTTTTTGGATTTCTGAAGCATTAGCCGGTGGTGCACAAAGTCATAAAACAAAATCTTCTAGTTGTCCTTGTACTTTATAGTTAACAATACTTTGTCATAGCAAAAGTTCTCCCAGATTACTACTATTTTAGTAGATGCTTTTAACACACTGCTTAGCTAATGGAAAGTGTTAGCTGTTTTACCTAGCAAGACTTCAATCTTTTTATGTATTTCTACATTCTTAAATATTAAAATGCAAGTGTTTTAAGTTCCAGTAAAATATGAATGCTTGCTAATATGTTTATACTTTTATATCAGCTAATTCTTTCTTCTTTTACCTACAGAGCTTAAGCAGGAGGTGCTTTGGATAGGTCATGTTTTTGCATGTGGAGACACCAGGTTAAGATGTCTCAGCTTGATGCTGTTTCATGTCTTAACAGTGATCAGGTGCTTCTCATAAGCAACCCTTTCTGTAGGAGATGATCCTTTATCCATAGTAGCTGATACTTGCAGAGCTTTGTCCTGTACAAGAATCTTTTTTTTCTTTTTCTTTAGCATCCCTTTACCTTTTGTACAAAGGCTATATCTGTTATTAAGCTGGAAGGCTGTAGAGCTGTGGGGAATGTGCTTGAGAGGACTGAAACCCCCCATGTTACCATGCTTACCCCCCATGTTGTTTGCTGTCCAGGCCCATCTCTGCAGTTAATAATTTGACAGCCTGTGCTAAAGGGTGTGTGGGCCATGGGCTCCTGGGAGCCTCTGGGCTAGTCCTGATCATCTGGAAAGGCAATGGCCTTGTCTGCAGCCTTACGTGAGCTGTATGGGCAGAAAAATTCTAAGTGCCTGCAGATTGAAAACCTAAGACAGTGGGTTAAAATTAGATATCTAGTTTTGCTGATGGACTAGGTATAAGGGCATGTAGATATGGAATTTAGCTGCATTTTCTATGGTACAAAAATAGTTGCTTTCAGTGTGAATGGTTATTTGAAAAGTAACAAATTAGCTATGCTGAGACTTCTGGTGTTGTTGGTGGGGGTGGCGAGTTTGTTCTTTCTCCTCTGATTTGATCGGTTAATATTTTTGGATGGTCTTATGTTTGTGTTCTATGTAGTTATCTGTGTTCTATGTATTATAGCTTTTAACTTCAATTCTGTGCTTAAAACAGAACTTTAATTCTAGGTCTGTTTTAAAGAGTGAGAACTTTTAAAAGAATTCAACATTTGTGCCCCTCCCTTGAGTTGCAAAGTCTGGCAATGAAAGATAAAGTAATTCGAAGTTCACAAGGCTTCTAAAGGGGCAGATGTGTCTTGCAGCTGAGCTTGCTGTAGCAATTATTGCTGTATGAATTAAGAACAAGCATAAAGTATTTTTAAAATCCCTTTGGGGAATTGGGGAGTTTTCATAATCATTGAGAAACTTTACATTTCTTTAATCAAATGAAAATATATTTGCACATTTTCCAACTTCCCTGAATAGTAGCTGACTTCATGTCTTGCAACACACAACTTTTAATTTTGAGAACCAAAAATAAGCATAATGCTGTTTTTCTTACACAGCTTCTGTAATATAGAGATTGTTTTTCTTTAATGAGAGAGAAAAAAGAAGTATGAGTAGTTCTGTCAGGCTGAAGCAATGAATTCTATTTATAATTTGAGTCTACTTAGTGTGAGGGTAGGGGAAAATCATTTAATAGTTTCTTCTTTTCCTTTTTTTGGTTTTTCTCTTATGCAGGAATAAAGAACTACTCTAACTGGCCTACCATCCCGCAAGTGTACCTCAATGGTGAATTTGTTGGTGGTTGTGATATACTCCTTCAGATGCATCAGAGTGGAGATCTAGTAGAAGAGCTGAAGAAGTTAGGAATCCGCTCAGCACTTCTCGATGCAGAAAAAGACCAAGACAAAAAGTAAAACAAGCAAAAAGATGCAGTTACAGGAATAAAGAAAGTCTTTGACAAGAACTTGTTACCAGAAAAGCCTTATGTACCTTTTCCTCAAAGAAAGCATCTTTTTGTACTGACACTAAGATTATCTGTGAATGTGAGTTAGCTTGTGGTAAATGTGTAGTAATTGTGGTATTCTGATTTATGGATATTGTTGTGAAAATTTGAGTGTAACCACTGCACTATAAAGCATACATTTGTGGAAATAGTGCAAAAAAGTTCATATCTAAGAGGATTATCTTCCGAAAGGCAAGAGTAAACCAAAAGATCTAACATTATTTTATGGATTGTGTATGTTTTCTTGTTCTTTGATACATGAACCTACGCAAACATTGTTTGCAGTTCTCTTGCTTCTCTTGAAAAAGTGTTATCTAATAGTACATCAGCTGTTTTTTTGGGTAGACACCTGGTGATAAGACTTCCCAAGAGTCTGTAAAATTTCTGTAACCTCCTACAGAATAGGAGAAAACCAGTCTTCAAACAATACAGAAGAAAACAATGTGAGAGTGCATGAAATAATGCTTTTATTCCAAAGGGTAAAAATAAACACACTAGTACAAATACATGTATGGTGGTCGTTATTGCTTTGTACCTTGCTGATGGCTTTTAAAAAGACTGCTGATAATTGTGCCTAAAAAATTTTATAAAATCTTTTCTACCTCTTGCAAAGTGTCTTTCCCCCCTGCTTATGTGCATTTTTATATTGTACTTTCTGTATCCATGCTAAAAATGTGGTAATTGCTCAAGGCTTCAGTCTACTTGCTTGGCATAGCACAGGAGGAGAAGAGTTCAGTTACTTACTGTAATCTGATACTACTCACTGGTTACCAAGTTATCTCTTTAGATTTGTTGCATTTCCTAGTATTTTCTCCTGACTGCTGTACTTCAAAGAGTGTAACCATCCAACGTGGGATAAACAAATGAAATGTGTCATGTAGATAATGAGGGCAGCAGAACGGCTGCTGAGCAGATAACCATTCCTTTGTTGGAAAGACTCTGGCGACTTCATGAGCTATGTAACCCTCCCCTAAGTTAAAAGAAGTTATCTTAAATAGTATAGCTTAAGGTGTACAACAAAACTGCTAAAGTTAAAAATTCAACAAGCTCTTCTTAAGTGTCATTTACTACACTTCATTAATAAAAAAAAGGTTTGCATGTGAATTAGGCAAATGATTTGAAATAAACTGTATTTTATGATGATTGTCTACAATATTTCTTTTTTTCCCCACCTCTAATGAAACTGATACTACTCTACGGTTGAATATGTTCTTAAAAGTTTTCCACTACCTGTGATAGAAAATATGGCTCTTTCAGAGTAAGGAAAGATTATGAACAGTCAGTGGGAGAAATCAGGAGTGGAATTTGTAGATCAGCATTGAATAGGAGAGGCTTCATGGAAGTTTCAATTCTAAATCCCCTTTTTCTTCTGCTTGAGCAAGCCCTCTAGGGCAGGAACTGTACATTGGTTCCGAATTTACAAAGCATATGCCAGTTACAGTAAACTTAATTGTACATTCTCTTTCCTATTTATTCATTTATGAAATAAAAGTGCTGAGCTCTCATAAAAGTAGGGACTTCAATGATCACTGATTTATTGATAAAATACTCAGGCTTCATTTTTGATCATAAATCATATTATTGATCATATAGTACACATAATTAGTGCAAGAATACTACATTCATGGAATGGGCTAGCTCCATAGGTGAAGGCTAGTTTGTGCATTCCAGCTTTATCTTTTTTTTCCTCAAATCATCTTAAATAAATTGTCTTGCTACTCAAATTCCATGAGTTTGCCATTCTGAATGTAAAAAGAACTTTGGAAAAAATGTCAAATTTGTGTCAAAAGAACAGCTAACAGAATCACAGAGTGGTTGAGGCTGGAAGGGCCCTCCAGAGAACATCTAGTCCAAGTCCCCTGCTCCAGCAGGGACACCTAGAGTGTGTGGTGGTGTCTGGGTGGGTTTTGAAGATCTCCAGAGAGAGGGAGACTCCACAACCTCTCCGGGCAGCCTGTTCCAGGGCTCTCCTGTCACACTAACAGTAAAGATGTCCTTCCTCACATGGAGATGACATCAATGTGCACTGTAAATGAATAATACGGAGTTGAAGAGAGGTCAATGGCTTCTGCTTCAGCAGTGCAGCTAGTAGATCTTAGACAAATCTACCCTTTCACAAGAGTTTTCAATGAAAGTTGAATATTTCAATCTGCTGCTATATATATATAACATAAACGTAGCGTTAGCATTGTCAGTTCTTTCTTCATATAAACAGTCAAAATTCTTTTTTTCTTCAGTTCCTATTGTTTATATAAATAGTTGCCCCTGTAGATTTCTTTTTTAGCTTTTAATTATTCACTTCAAATTTTGCATAACATACAATACTGTTTATATCAATCATTTGCCTGATTGTAATGTGTTGTCACTGAGCAAGTAAAAGGATTTAAATACTGCGAAGTACATGCAGTAAAGTCATGGAAGTGGGAGTATTAATATATGATTTTGATCTGTGTTCTTGTCCAGTCTATGCTGTTCAGTTACATATACGGTCAGTTTACCTATTGCCTCTGTACGGATGCTCATGTTAATCCTGTTGCAATATGAAGTCAGCATCTGTTTAAAGCATAGAACTTCAAATGCTCCAAAAGAGGCAGTTTTAGCAGTTGTTCGAGAGTCCTTGCCTAACAAACTAGTTCTCAAGTGGGTTGACAGTCCTAGAAAATGCACAGTGTTCTGTACTCTGCTGATCAACTCTTACTTTCCCTCAAACTAGAGACCAAAAAGCATAAGCTTACAATCACAGGGCTGATTTTTATGGAGAAAAAAAAAAACCCACATGACCTGCTGACAAGAGGTTTGCACCTGCTCTCCCCCTGTGCTCTGGGATGTGAGAGGTTACTGGTAAGGTTATAGTCCGGATGATAATGGTGGATGTACCTGACCTCATACCCAGAGGGCTGGTGCTGGAAAGATCAACGAGGAGTTCATGGTTGTGCTGCAAAGGATTCTGAAGGTGAAAGGTGACTTTTTCCCCCAGGGGCACTTAATTGTCACTGAGCAGAGGAGGCAGCAAATGCAGTGGAAAATGCGGAAAGGCCCCTGGGCACTGCTGCTCTTCCTTCCCTGGTTATCCTCAGGAAAATGTTGACAGAGAAGGACGCAGAGGAGGTAACGGGGCTTAGCAGTAAGAGCTTGAGAATGCTGCACTGGGTCTGGCTGAAGCTCCTGAGAAGACAACCGAAAGCAAAGACAGAGCTCTCTGTGCCGTCTTTTCCTAATGAACAAGGAAGCAAGCCTTGGTCTTGGGATCTGTATGCTGCCACGAGAACACATCTCAGTGAGACAAGCAGTGGGCCTGCTGGAGAGCGCTGCCGCTGGCACTGCTTCCGTTCATCAAGATCAGGTGTACTGAGTTGCCAGCTCC